TTTTTTTTTTTTTTGTTGTGGCTTCAACTAGTAACTTCTCTGACTCTAATAGTGTTACTGCTGTGAAGTCTATGGAAAAGTTCCATGTGAAGAAATTTTATTTATTTATTTGTATGAACCATTACACCATCTCAACATATGAAACCTGCAGGATGCTGCTGCATGGCTCGAATACTTTGAATCCAAAGCTTTTGAGCAGCAAGAAGCTGCTAGAAATGGGACTCGCAAGCCTGATGCTTCTATAGCCAGCAAGGGCCACCTTAGGTAAATAGACGGTTCTGGGTGAATTGCATTTAATGAATTTGAGACATGTTACAGTTTCAGCGGAACAACCTTTTATGTTTGCACTTTGCAGTGAGGAATAAGTGGGATACCTGGCTTGGGACCATCACAATTTTTCATATTTAGTTCATGAGTCTTATTGTAGTCAACATGGTCAATATTAAAAAGAAAATAACAAAAACATAAAAGAAAAACTACATAAATTCGTAACTTACTGATAACTGTGTTGGCAGTGTATCAGATTTGCTCGACTACATTAATCCAAGCCAAGATGCTAAAGGGAAAGATGCTGCAGGATCAAAGAGAAGAAGTTACATTGCAAAGGTTTTTCTAGTATCTTTCATCTAATATTTTATGTAAGGGAGTTTTTGGAAACTCTACAAAAAAGTAAATCATCAGCTTCGGGCTAGAAAAATACAAGTATTTTCTCAGAGGTAACTTCTGCAAACTTAGTATTTTCTTTTTCTTAAGAGCTTTTTATGCTTCCATTTTCAGGCCAAGGTGAAATCCCTCCAAAACAATCCAACCACAATGGATTCTGAAGTGACCCCAAAATATACTTCAATTGAGGCAGCAAATGAAGACAACCAAACCCCTAACTCTAATGTCAACTCCTCTGTCAATCATCCATCTTCCTCTCCATTACTTCAGTCCAGAGAAATTTTAGAGCCACTGACTGAGAAAAAAACTATCCAGCCCGTACAATCTTTGACACAGGAACCCGCAATTGGAATGCCTATTAATAATGATGTCTCACCTGAAACACACCCTGAAGGAGAAGATGGATGGCAGCCAGTCCAAAGACCAAGGTCAGCTGGATCTTCTGGAAAACGGCCAAGGCACCGGCATCAGCATTCAAATAAATTATTCAATCACCAGAAGAAAGATTTTGTTGCTGACATAGATCATGCCAGATTGAAAAATAACCATCAAAGTAGTAAATATTATGTCCTAAAGAAGAAGACAACATCTCCAGGGAGCTTTACGGAATACTATGTGGCAAAGAACCCATCACTGGGGACCAAATTCGGGCGAAAGTTGGTCAAAACAGTAGCTTACAGAGTGAAGTCTGTGTCATCATCCACTACAGATACTGCAGCAGAGGGCTTGAAGAACGAGGGCAAGGCACTATGCCCTACATCAGACTCAGGTTTGGTTTCTGTTCTTGTGCCTCAAGAGGTCAAAGGGGTAACCAAAAGAAGTTCGATAGTTAGTTTGGGCAAGTCACCTTCATACAAGGAAGTAGCTTTGGCCCCGCCTGGCACCATACCTATGTTACAGGCAAGTGACGGTTATAGCCCCGAGGAAGTTGAAGAACACAACGAGCCGCAATTCGAGGCTGAGAATAAATCTGGAACTGTTCTGTTAACTGCAGGAATTGATCAGGCAGACAACATTGAGGGTCTACTTGTGGCCCCCGCGGTCCAACTAAAAGTCGAAATTGAAGCTTCTCATGGGGAACAGGAAATTCACCCAGACGACAAGGCGGATAATGATAAAAATGTTCACAGTGTATTGGACATATCAAATGCACTGGATACCACTAATGTGCCGAACTATTCGTATTCTCGAGAAGTGGGTGCTTGTACTGGAGACTCAGATGCAACCCTAGCCTATGATGATTGTACAAAATCAAATTCCGATGAAGCAGATGAAACGATGGTGAAATCGTCTTTGAATGACCCGAAAGAAGTCACCAATAAGAAGCTATCAGCATCGGCAGCTCCATACAATCCATCTGTAGTCGCTCCACGTGTGGCGCCGCTGCCCATTCCACCAGTCGGGCCTTGGCCTGTGAATATGGGCCTTCATCCGGGTCATGCCACTATCTTGCCTGGCCCGATGTCTCCTCACCACCACGCATATCCCTCACCGCCGCAAACTCCAAACCTAATCCACCCTCTGCCGCCATTTATATACCCTCCTTACACGCAGCCTCAGTCGATACCACCCACGACTTTCCAAATAACCAGCAACAGCCCCTACCATCCACGCCAGTTTGCATGGCAGTGCAACATGGTCGCCAACACGCCTGAGTACATTCCCGTCACGGTTTGGCCAGGGTCCCGTCCTGTAGAATTTTCATCCCCTACCAATGTCGATTCCATTCCAAAGCCCGTTTTGGAGATGAAGGTGGACGATATTATCCCTGAAAGCGTAAATTTGGCGCCTAATTTACCAGTGGATCTTGACAGCGAGAACGAGTCCAAGAAAGAAATTGACCTTCCGGTGTCAGAGGCCGTGGAGAATTTGAACGACGTGAATTTGGTTCAGCAGGGGAGCGGAGCGAAACCCAGCGAATCTTATTTTCGTGGTGTGCCTTTTCCATCTAATGGTTGTCATGTGCAAGGGCAGCAGAAGATTGTTGACGATGAAAAGACATTCAATGTTTTGGTTAGAGGGAGAAGGAACAGGAAGCAGATGTTGAGAATGCCGTTGAGTTTGCTGAGGCGGCCGTACAGTTCGCAGCCATTCAAAGTTGTGCACAGTAGAGTGCTGAGGGAAACTGAACTTCCGAGATCCACTGGCTTTGACACCATAGAACAGGCTGCGGATAGTGTGGCTTAAGGAGGCTTGGTATAAGCTTGTTCAAAGGTACAGCAAGATGATCGAGAAGATGTTACATCGTTACTACAGAATGGAGAAATTGACATCAGTGCCTAATTTACGACGTGTATTGGATGCGCAAGCTGGTCACTCAGTTTATGCAGGTTAGAGTTTTCATTTCTTATATGTTACATCTGTTCTCATCTCCATGCAATCAACTAACTACTAAGCTTGTCATTGTCATCACGATCTCTACCATTTCTACTTTAATCTTCCCAAACTGCATGATTTTGAGTTTTAAAAATTTCCCTTTGGAAAGGTAAATTTTTGTGCTGATCATAATTCTATATCGATGTGCAGGTTCTCTTTTGGAAATTCTTTTTTCGATCCACCTCGGAGGTTTCTGTCTTGGTATAACTTTCTTTTCCCATTCGGTAGAGGAATTTTGATACTTTGGGTACCTTTTTTTTGTTTTATTTGGGGATCAAATTTTGACAGTTGATAATAGCATAATTGGCCTTCTTTGGGTTTTGATTGTTTTATTAGATGTGAGTTTTGGGGTTCAGTATATTTCTGAATCCAACTCTTGGCTAATGTCAATTGGATTCGATAGACAATGACTTTTCTTTTATATTCTGCTATTGAAATTTGAAACAATATGTGAATATCCTTTTCTTCTTTTATTTCACTGCTTCCCTAAACGGTTTCTTAAAAGGCGACTTTCGGCAAATCACTGACGACCTCATTTCTTGCTTCTATATAGCCGGTTTACGGTTTAGCTGATGTATCAATCAGATTCTTGAGTGAGCTCCTATTGTTAACCATCATTTTTGGATCAAAATTTGTGATAACTAGACTTAAATTCAGTCTTGTTAACTTAGTGTTCGCTTGTGCTGTACCATAGTATGTGACCTTGGAAAACAATCCAAATATTGTAGGTTGGTTGATAAGGATTTCATGTTAGGCCTTAATTTGTTTGTCATTATTTATGTATTTGTTCATATAAAAAGAAATGAGGAATGTGACACAATCGCCCAATTTGCAATATTATGAACGATATAGTTTTTCTCTTGAGGGATTGATGGAGAGGAGTTCGCAATGGCCTTTCTCGACAAATACGATCGGCTTCCGGTTTTAATATGATTAATTATCCTTATTTTATACTATTATTTGTTATGTTTTTTATTCCTTATTTAGTTTGTTTAGTTTATTGGGAAAATAATTATTTGATTATGTGACTTTATGTGTTAAAGTGCTTGATTATAGTTATGTATGTGGGATGATTTATTAATGTTCGGAATTAGTCGTTCGTGCCGAATCACTGAGAACTTGTGTCAAACGCGTCGAACCCCTGCGAACTCGCACCCACCGGCAAGTTGAGCCTCCGAGGTTTTGAAATCTAGACCCTAACTTTAGGCTATTAATCACTTTAGAACCCTTTTAATTTCATAATAAGTCATATAAATGCAAACAATCAAGCAAGTCAAGCTTCGTGCAAGTGGCACTAGCCGAACGGGTACACGCCTTGTTTCGAGTTAACCGAGCCACCAAGCCTTGAACTTTGAGAATTTAGCCACATTAGCAAGCTCTTAGAACACCATAATCGTCCTTAGGAGTGACCTCGAACATCAAGAAGTCGAAGAGTTTCAAGCGAAGCCGCGAACGCGGCTAAGCGCACGCGCCACTCGAACCCGAGCCCTAGTGTCGAGCCAACGACCACCTTAACCAACTCCTTTGCTAAGACCTGGTCCGAGCGCGTGGACATTTGTTTATGTTACTCAATATAGATCAATAAATACATATATGATTATGAATAAATGAAGATCTTCCCTTCTAGATTCCTTTTAATTTTTAAATTATATTTTTAATATATTTATTTTTAAACTTAATGCAAAAAAATAAATTCACATGGTAAAGTGTGGTATAACTTATAGGGAGATTCTACGCTCCTCTTACGGAAAGGGGTTTGTAACCATTAGATCAACTATCCACGACGGTTACATGATGATTTAAGAGTTTTAAATTCCGGAAGGAATAGTTCCGTAACGGGACTGAAGTATTTCCCACCTTTATAAGGATTCAGTGTTTTTATGAAGGGTGTTACTATTTACCGCCCCCCTTATTACTAGTCACCGCCCCCCCTGGACGATTTTGCCCTTTTCATTTGTTGTCTCCGCAAGATGTCGAGTAGCTCAGAGTTAAAAAAATAATCGTCCGGCCAGCTTTACCGCACGGCAATGGCGGTGGCCGACCGACCAGACCGGACAGCCTCAAAGGCGTCCGGCCGGTTCGACCGGACACACCCCTGGCCGTGCGGTAAAGCTGGCCGTACGGACCGGTCATTGTACTAACCGACCGGCCGTACGACCCACTTGGTGTCCGGCCACGACGGCCGGTTGGAACCCGATCCGGCCGGTCCGACCGGCCGGACATTATTTTTTTTATTATTTTTAAATACTTTAAAATTATTAAATACATTGCAGGTGTCTTTAGAAGATTTTGGAGGAGATGGTATTGATTACCGTTCCGCTTTCAATACAACTACGCTGTTTATTAGTGATGCAGAGGCTATTAATGATACAAAAAGTACAGAAATTCTGAATGGTTTCTTTTTGAGTATTTCGAAACACAAAAAACCCGGAAGGCTGAAGATCTTGAAGTGCAACCGAGGCGAACGTTATAGAGGCAAAAACGTAGATATGAATAAAGCTGTTTCTAGACATTCCAAAACGAAAGCGTGCCAGTGCCCTTTTGAGATACAAGTAAAGCGTGTTGCCAGATCGACATACTGGATGATCCACGAGTCAAGACGAAACGAAGGGATACCATAATCATTCATTTGTTGTGTATCTTGGGGGGCCATCGACAGTCGAGCGGCATCAGCCAGTCATCAAAAAATATTATTCGTGATATGACTGCTGCGCATGCGACACCAACAAATATTTTAGCCGCCGTCCAGGAAAAAAATCCACACGACCATGCTAATCGACGATATATATATATAACTATAGAGACTGGTTGCGTAAGGAAAGTCTTGAGGGTAGGGACGTTCCTACCCAACTTCTACATTTGGCTAGCAGCAACAAGTATATAGTTTATACAAATGTCGATCCGAATACAAATGCGGTGACACACATATTCATCGCCCATCCTGATTCAGTGAGTCTATTCCGGACCTATTACTGGTTTGTCGGCATAGATTCGACGTACAAAACCAACAGGTATTTTA